GTCTAAGGACATTTTCCGGGGTCAGTCCCACCCCAGCTGGGAAAGAAGCCTTAGATATCTGGTTGGAGCAAGCGACACTTCTAGTAGAGGAAGGCGAGTGCTCCGATAAAGAAAAACGTAGACGCATACTGGAAAGTCTCAAAGGGCCTGCCTTGGATATCACATAGGCCGTGCGTCTGACTCAACCTGATGCTAGTTCCCAGGATTACATAGAGGCCATAGAGACCATTTTCGGCAGAGTAGAGTCCGCAGAGGAGCTCTCTGTCATTCAGAGCCCTTCACCAACAGCCTGGTGAGCACCTGTCTGAGTTTCTGCGAAGATTAGAGAGGTCTCTTGTTAAAATAGTCCAGGGAGGTGGCTTACCAGTTAGCGCTGCTAACAAAGCTCGGTTAGAGCAGTTAGTTAAAGGATCCACTTCTGAGCTTATGTTGCTTCAGTTGAAAATAAGGGAGCGAATGGAAAATCCTCCTTCATTCCTGAACTTGTTAAGAGAGGTGATGGAAGAGGAAGGCTGCCAAGCAGCCAAACAGAGCCAGACCACTTCTAAGTGTCACCAAAGGGTTCGCACAGTTCAGGTGGAAAAGGAGAGAGAGTCTGAAGCGGTCACTCAGAGTGAACTGCAAGCTCAGATTCAAGAGTTGAGAGCACAGTTAGAGGAAGGAAACCACTCAAGAATTCAACCACTGTCTGATTGCACTTTCAAACCCCCAACAGAGAAGCAAAAACAGAAAAGTGATTCGCAGAGTGAAATACGGTCACTCAGAAAGCAAGTGAAAGCACTAGAAAATAAAATGAGTGTGATGGCGGTGAAGTCTACAAGTGATCCCTCACAAGAACACTCAACTCAGTCTCGCAGACACAAAGCAGCTTCTTCCCCCAAGCCTGCTTCTTTTAAAGCATCATCTTCTAGAGAGAGTGATGAATATTTCTGGTATAAGTGTGGAGAAAATGGTCACATAGCTACAAGGTGCACTGCACCTGAGAACCCGCAGAAAGTCATAAGAAAACTTATACGAGTAGTACGAGGAGTATCTGGTCCGAACAAGGAGGACCCAAATCCTAGAGGAGAAGAGCAATGCGTTGCTCGGACCAACAAGGTTGAAGTCCCAGAAACTGACACAGGCCTGCCCGAGGGTCTTTTAGGCCCGTCATTTATTCACACAGTCAAAGTCAATGATGTGGCCTGTGATGCTCTTATTGATAGTGGGTCTAGCGTGACTATTGTCTTTGAAAACTGGTATAACCAACACTTGGCAAATGTCCCCATAAAACCTCTTTCTCGCTTGGGACTCTGGGGACTTGCTGACACAGAGTATCCCTACAAAGGCTATGTTGTTGTAGAGATGGAGTTTACCAAGGAGATCACTGGTGTCTCCGGGCGAGTAGAAGTGCTTGCATTGATTTGTCCTGACCCGAAAAACCAGCAACAAACCCCCGTGTTGGTGGGGACCAATACGTCTCTGTTCCGCCGCCTATGGGACTTGGTGCAAATGAAAGGTGACCAGAACACAGCTCATTCCATGAGAATTCAGTCTGTGTATGCCTCCAGTAGGGAACAGGAGCAACTGCCAAAAAATGATGTGCTGGGACAGATAAAATGGAAAGGGCCCTGCCCTCTTTCTATCGCCGCAGGAGCAAATTGCTATGCCACCTGCAAAGTAGACAGGCACAGTGCCCCCTCCAAAGACCTTATCTTGATTGATGCACCCTCTACCCAGTTACTCCCTGCCGACGTGCTGGTACAGCCAGGTGTGCTCTCAGATGCTGGCATAGACAGCAATAGCTTGAATGTGCTCCTCCAAAATGAGTCCACAAAGACAGTCTCCATACCAGTGGGATCTGTCATTGCTGAAATGTTTGCCATGGATACAGTGACCCCAGTCCAACCCTCTGACCTTGCCACTGAGAAAATAGATCCAAACCTCTTCGATTTTGGGGACTCCCCTATCTCTGAGGAGTGGAAAAGTAGACTTCGGCAGAAGTTAGCTGAGAGGAGAAATGTCTTCTCAGTACATGAGTGGGATGTTGGCTTGGCTAAAGGGGTTGAACACCACATTCGTCTACATGACCCTAGACCGTTCCGGGAGAGGTCAAGGAGACTAGCCCCAGCCGACATAGATGATGTGAGGCGACATATACAGCAGCTGTTGGCTGCTGGAATTATAACAGAGTCCCGTAGCCCCTTTGCCTCCCCAATTGTTGTTGTGCGGAAAAAGAATGGGGCTATAAGAATCTGTATTGATTACAGAACACTGAACAACCGCACTACACCTGATCAGTATACAATGCCACGCATTGATGATGCCTTGGACTCCTTGTCAGGCAGCCGATGGTTCTCAGTCCTAGATCTGCGTAGTGGCTACTATCAGATAGAGATGGCTGAGGAGGACAAGGAAAAGACGGCATTTATTTGCCCCCTGGGCTTCTATCAATTTGAGCGCATGCCACAAGGGATCACGGGAGTACCTGCAACGTTCCAACGCTTACTGGAAAAGGCTGTTGGGGACATGCATCTTCTGGAAGCCCTTGTGTACTTGGACGACAACATTGTCTTTGGCAGAACGCTTGAAGAGCATGAGCAACGCCTCTTCAAGGTGTTGGACAGACTAGAGGAGATTGGTTTGAAAGTCTCTATTGACAAATGCCAATTCTGTC